ATTGACCCACTCACACACACACTCACACACTGATGGTGGCAAGGTACATTGTAGCCACAGCTGCCCTGGGGCTCACTGACAGAAGCGAGGCTGCCGTACACTGGCGCCACCGGGCCCTCTGACCACCATCAGTAGACAATGCAGGTGAAGTGTCTTGCCCAAGGACACAACGACAATGAAAGTCGGAGTCGGGGCTTGAACCGTCAACCCTTCGATTTCAGGACAAACTCCCACATCCAACGCCACTGTCGCCCCTATATCTTGAAATTATATGTAATATGTTAACATAATTATATGTAATATGTTAACATAACATTGTAATAAATACATGTTATTACATTCACATCATTTGTTGTGATGGATTAGTATACTACACATTACATGATTTACAGAATTCATTCTGATTATGCAATGTGTTCCATTTTTTTTTCTTACCAGAAATTACAGTAATCTACTGATGCTATGAGACAGAAAGTATGTGTTTCATACCACTGATTTTATCTTTATTTAAAAGGGTTGTTTGACGCTGTAGTGCATGTATTGAGCAGTGCGCTTTTGCTCTGAGAAGGTTCCAAGTAGCCAGATCAATCCCCACAGTCTGCACTCTGAGTCCCTGAGCAAGACCCTTAACCCCGGATGGCACCCCAAAAGGATGGGTTAAGATGCAGAGAGTGAATGTTACCTATTGTGAGATAAATGTATCGGTATGACTGATCTAACTAGGAAGTACCAATATGGCGGCTGGCGACAGAATCGTGTACTACCAACAGCCGATCAGCTATCCAGTGAATAAAGATCAGTGTTTAAAACGTACCAGTTGGAGAGATGGATGTTCCTCTAAACGTTGCACAAGTTTACTAAACCAGAGAAGGTCAAGACAAGCTAGAAAAGGGAGGAGTGGCGGCCTAGTGATTAGGGCATAGAGCTTGGAATCCTGACGTTCTGAGTTTGAGGCCCACTGCCACTCTGGCTCTCTGAGCAAGACACACCCCCCACCCAATTTCTTCAATGTGAGGTCAATAAAGTTCAATCATATTATTATTAAAAAAATATTTAATGAGAACAGTAAATATTTGGTGCTAATATGTAATAATTTCAACCTAAAAACATTAAATGGGTTCCCTAATTTGTTTCCTCTGACTGGTTCTGATGCGCCGACTGAAGCCGCCATGAAATATTTCCATAGATATGCTGTAAACATTTCCTTGACAGAAACAAACCGCCTTCCTTGTTTTTCATATTTATTTACATAAATCATACAACAAGGCACCCCACTGCATGACTGTGTTCATCTTAAATTACAATCCTGCCGTTTAGAAAAACGTGAGGTTTCTGTCCCAAATTGCAGTTAATGATTATAATTCATTACAGATCCAGAAAAGAAGAAAGGCACAAAGCATCCAATCAGCTTCAGAATCTCTCTGCAGTCCTGCTGGCCACCACTCTGATGTTACCGTAAACCTTTGAAGGTGGACTACCTGTTGAGATCAAGTCATTACCAACATTAACATCAGTTTAAAATCTTCTGTTTTAAAATTCAACTCACTGGAAAAACTGCAGCTTACCTAAGATCAGGTTACATATTGCTGTTCGGGCCATTTTGATGTTCTGAAAGGAACCTAAAATGTGGATTTTCCTGTTGAGACAATTAGTAAACTTTAATATCATTATCTAAAAAAAATTTATTTTAACAGAGAGGGGCACATAAAAAATTGGAGAACATACGTGTCTGCGAGAACGATCCGAGTCTTTGTTACATTCTCAATGGTGAATTTAGTTTTCCCTCCTTTCCCTGCTATTCTTCCTATGGCCCTGGATAAGTGGTCTCCTTTCAGAGGTTTTACTGCAGGAAGAAGAAACATGACGTTAAGTAAACAGTGGGGAAAGGAAAAAGAGTGATAAAAGGCCAGAGCCTTCTGGTGCTGCAACCTCACCGTCTGTGACATCAAAGCTTTCAAGGAAAAGCTCGTCTAATCTGATGAGCGCCATGGCATCCTGGGAAGAGCAAGGCCGATCGTTACATCACCGGTTTGAGATCAAAAATCACTAAATGTCTTCCTAAAAATGTTCTTGTTTTGAAGGGTTTAAAATTGGGACAATTAGCTTTATACCAACACTTTGTGCACTAACAGCCAACTTTACTCAAAAACATGCTGAAACATTGTTTTGAACTCTGCAGAAATAGTGTTAAGTTAAAGAAGCCTTCAACTCAGATACTCACTTCAACCTGGAATCCTAGAATGAAGGCTTTGACAAAATCTGCTGCTTTTGTGAGCGCGCTGATGTCCTGCGTTTCTTTGCATGTCTAAACAATAAAAAAAAGTACGGAAGTTCTACAAAGATGACTAACAATACTTTAAATCTGTGTTTTTTTCAGGGGAAACTTACTTTAATTTCCACATTTCTGGTTTTAAGGTTGAATCGCACTTGAAGCT